CCCCAGCAGCAAAGGCGGCAGAGCTCCGTTAAGCTTTCGGAGAGACCTCTCTCCTCCTGCAGAAACAGCCCCGTGCCACCTGCCGTGGGGCTCCCTGCCACGGCCCCGCCCTCTGTGTTTGCCGCGCGGGCAGAACTTTTCCCCGCCTTCTCCGTGTGTCTCCCGGACTTCTGTAAGAAGCGTGCAGCCTGGCTCAGAATGGGCTTTTTATCAGCTGCCTGGAATTAGGGCGAGCTTTGGCTGGGCTGCAATTTTAATTGTTTCATCTCTCTTTTGTTTCCAAAAAAAAAAAAAAAAGAATTAGAAAGGGGGATGGAAATCCTGTTTTCTCCAGGGTCATTACCTCCATGGGGGGGAGCCAGAGAAGTAATGGGTCCTTGTGTCTGATTCTTGCCAACCGAAATCTGGGTCACGTTCAGAGATTCCAGAAGACCGGCCCTGACCGCCCAGTGAACGCGGGTCTGGCTCGTGGCTTATCTGGAACCGGGACGTTTTATCTCCGGGACCGACTCCCCACGTCTGCTGGCGGACAAACGGCAGCGGCGGCGGCAGAGAGCGAGGAAAAACTTGGCTTTTTCTTTCGAATGAAAATCAGCAGAGCACAGGTGCTGTGCTGTGTCGCCCCGGGCGGGTCTGAGCTAGAGCGACCGGAGCCCCAGCCCCAGCGCCCGCCCTTGGGTGGTCGGGGCTCGGGGCTCACCGATGCCTCCCGCCTGCGAGCCTCCTCCCCGATGTACTGATCACAAAAGCGGGAGTGCCGCTCACATGACGGGCGCGGGGAGCGGCCGTGGGCTCTGAGAGCAGCCTCAGTCTACGCACGCTTGGCTCCCAGCTGACAGACGAGTATGGGGTGGGCTCCGTCACCAGCGCGCTGGGTCTGGCCTGCCCAGCTATGCTCGGAGGCAGGCAGTGGCCAGACGCCCGCCGCCGCTCCCCGGGTCCAAGCTGCTCCGGCGCCCAGGGGCCGGGCTGCCCTTCCCTTCCTCCCAGTCGAGAAGGTTATATAATGAGCGGACCGCTGCCAAAGTCGGAGGGAAAATGAAGTCTTTGTTAAATGCCTTCACCAAGAAGGAAGGTAAGCGGAGAGCCAGCCTTAGGGCGCGGAGCGCCTGGGAACAAGAGCTTCCGACCCGGGCGAGGGTGGGGGGGGGAACCGGGGACTCCGGGTCCTCCTAAAATTGCCGGTTCATTCATTCCTGCCGTGTTAAGGGAGTGATTACTTCTGGTGGGCGATCGGGCTTTGTTGTAGTTGGTCTGGACTGTTAACCCACTTGAAGGTGCCGGTTTCATTCCCACCCCCACCCCCTCACCGCCCAAGTCTCCAGCCCCTTGCAGAAATGTAGCTTGTGCATCGTTAGTGCATCCAGAACCTAACTGTTAAGGAACTAAGTCCTGTGGAAAATAGGAAGTTTGGCTGTAATCTGTCCGCTGCCTGGAGGCTGCTGAGCACTCAGGCAGAAGCAAGGAGCCCCAGCCCTGGCCAGGGCAGGCGCTGGCTGCCCTGGCCAGGTGGGCGCTTTCAGAACCGCCGCTCGGAGTCCCTTGGCCATCCCCGGGTTGTGGTTTCGGGGAGCGGGTGGGAAATGCACTGTGGCAGACTTTGAAAGTGCATCTGCTTTTCTGCATACCTTGGGTAATTTGTATTGTGGAAAAGAAACGTATAAATACATGCATGGAAGGCTAAGCTAAGAAAATATCCACCCACTTAGAGTTTGCAGATTGCCTGAAAGAAGGAAACAGTTGGGTGGAATATTAATCATTTTCAGACAGGAAAAGAGTTATTTCTAACCCTTTGCACATTAAAAAAAATAAAACAGCAACAACATTTCCACGGCGGGTTCCAGTTAGTTGGTTAAGACAGGGAGCTCTCATTTTATGAAACCGGGAGGTTTATGAAGATGTGAGGTTAGAGGAATTAAGGAGATAATTCCAGCCCAAGCCAGAAAAGAAACATGGAAGAGATTTCCATTACACCACACAGGAAATGAACTTAATGTGAATCTTGGTAATTCAGTGAGATAGCGTTCATTAGAATGTTCACCGAAACGTCACCTATGAGAGTCCAGCTGAGTGGCTCACTGGCTCCTTGGGGCAGAACGTATTTGCAGAAGTCCCAGCTCTTTCATCCCTTAATCTTCCAAGGGCAGCTGCCCCCCGCCCCCGCCCCGTGAATTGCTGCCACTCTCTGAAAGACCTCTTCCGCCTGGTTCTCAGGAACATACAGAAAGACAGCCTTTGTCTGAGCACATTTGCTTACACGATGAGCCCAGATTCACCTTCTGGGACTTTGATCTTGGTACTGTGTGCTCAGCATGGGTGTTTCTGTTGGGGGCATGGTGTTCTGCTCACCCTGTTCCCTTCTCCCCTAGACTGTGCTTCCCCTCAGGAGTCTGTCGTAGCTATTGGCAGGGTTCCCCCCAAATTCCATCACTTTCCATCAAGGGCGTTTGTACTCGCTTATATCCATCAGAAAAATATAACTGACTCTAAGGTCAGGGAAGCTGGGAGCCTCAGCATGAGTTCGCATCATGGAGTGCAAATGTTTCCTGGTCTGGGGGAGTCCCCTCCGAGCTGGGGTGACCCCTCCCCTCCATCCGCGTGAGCTCTGGCTTGTCCTCAGGTGGGCGCAGGAAGGATGAGCCAGGAAGTCGAGGGGGCTCTGTTGTGAGCATCTGCTCAAGAGGCTGGCTTCCTCTAGGTGCTGTGGTCCTGCCGCTGACGATCTCGGCAGGAAGAGCATCGCTCTCTGAGATCCTGGATCCACCGTCCTAGTGAGGGCTCCTGTCCCCCCCGCCCCTCTGCTGGGCGGGGCTCCAGTCACCCTCAGTCCTTCCAGAAGTCTTCTGGCCGCCGTCTGATGCTGACAGCGGGAGTGACATGGGGCTAGTCTCCCCAGTGACCGGCAAAGACAAACGCAGGACTTTTCCCTGAAATAGACTTCCCCCCAGAACACCTGGACTGATTCCCCAGGGGCCAAGCCCTGGACAGGGCAGCCTCTCCGGCTCCAGAGATGGGGGTCCACGGAGCACGCCCTTCCTGCCCCCTGTCTTCCTCCTGGCCGGGCTGGCGCTGAAGAGATCCTTTGCTTTGCACAGTTTGGAGTAGATGCGAGTGCTGGTGCGCCTCGCCCTGACAGACGGGCTTCAGAGGAAGCAGGTTGGCATATCTGCTGGAAAGAGCGTGACCTCCCCCGCGGGTCACTTCCAAGTTCTCATGATGAGCCAAGATGTGAATTCCAAGTGTGCGTCCTTGGGAAGCCTCGTGCCATTTCCATGCAGCTTCCCCGGGCTGGCTGCCCGTCTGCTTTCCCAGGGTGGTCCTGCCTCCCAGGGAGGCAGCGAAGGGTGCGCTGGGTCGCAGCTGTCTCGGTGGAGCTCTGCCAGCACCACCTCCATCCCCGTGAGCATGGCCCTCCAGCGTGGCTGGCAGCAGGGGGTTGCCCAGGTTCTGGGTGGGGTGCAGCTGTCCTTGGTTTCCATGACGAACTTCACCGCCTCTGACCTCGGGCAGCCGGGGCGGCGGGCCATGCGGGACTCGGTCCTGAGCTCGCCTTTCTCCTCAGAGACGCTGGTCTTCCCACGTCCCAGCAGCCTCCCGGGAGGGCGTGTGTCCTCCTGTTGCTCTGCAGTCCAGTGTTGGGAGGGACAGCGCGAGGAGGCGCGTGTTCGTTGCTGCCTGTCGTGGCTGCTGTGTTGGTCCCCTGCGGCCCAGAGGCTTGCGTCTCTTTAGACGCCTCTTCTTGCAAAGGACGGGCTTCGCTGGGGGCCCAGTGGGCGAGGAATCTGGCTGCAGCGCAGGAGATGGAGGAGACCTGGGTTCCATCCCTGGGTCGGGCAGGTCCCCTGGAGGAGGGCGTGGCAGCCCACTCCAGTATTCTTGCCTGAAGAATCCCAGGCCAGAGGAGCCTGGTGGGCTACAGTCCATGGGGTCACAAAGAGTCGGACATGCCTGAGCGACGGAGCACGCACACACTTGGCAAGGACACTGTTTCTGGCTCCAGGCCTCGGAGAAACCCGGGGTGCCGACCACGTGGGTTCCAGCCCTCACGGTCCCCAAGGACCGTGTCCTCGTTCTGAGCCCCTGGCTGGGCTGACATCACAGGGCAAGGGGCTTGCCTCTGGTCTAGAACTTCATGAAAAGCGTGGCGAGGTGTGTCCACCACCTCCTATTCGATGCTTGCTGCCAAGTCCCGGTTTGATGGGTGGAGAAAGCACCACACTGGGTTTCAGGCAGATGGATTCACACCAGGAGAGCCACGGAGCCGCATGCACGTGCCCTCCCTGCTGTGACAGCCCCACGGACGGGGCGGCTCAAACATTCCCTGTCTCCAGGCCTGGAGGCTGGACTCCCAGACCCGGGTGTGGGCGGGGCTGGTCCTCCTGAGGCCTCCCTGCTGGGCGTGCCGACGGCCGCCGCCTCCCCGTGTCCTCACAGGGCAGTCCCTCTGTCTGTCCGTGTCCTGACCTCCTCTTCTTACAAGGACCCCAGTCCTGTGGGATTAGGGCCCTCCAGTGACCCCGTTTTACCTTAATCACCTCTTAAAAGACCCCGTCTCCAAAGACGGCCACATTCTGAGATGCTCGGGGTCAGGCCTCCAACACAGGGATTCGGGGGGACACGATCCAACCCCCAGTGCAGGTCGTGGCGAGGAGGAGGAGGAACTCCATGGCTGCCTTCGTGTCCGCCCGTCCTTGCTGTGAGCCGGGGCAGCCAGTCCGTCCACGGTCTCTGGGCCACTGGAAGTGTGGGCACCGCCTGGATGGAAGTGGGACCTGAGCCCCTTCCATCTCAAGCGCTGGCTTGAGCCTCCGTGCAAGGGGGGCGCACTCCGCATCCACCCGTGTCTGCTTCTGTGTTGGGGCGAGCTCTGCACCCTCGGGGGCTCAGCACAGAGCTCGCAGCGCCCATGTCCTGGGCAGCTGGGGGGCGGGGGACGGGCACCCCTCCTGGATGACGGTGCCACGCGCGCTCACCCGAGTCTCCCGCTCTCTCTGACCCAGTGCCCTTCCGAGAGGCCCCGGCGTACTCCAACCGCAGGAGGCGGCCCCCCAGCACGCTGGCCGCCCCCCGACTCCTGCTGCGCTCCAATAGTGACAACAGCCTCAACGCCGGCGCGCCTGACTGGGCCGTCTGTGCGGCCGCCTCCCACCTCAGCCTCTCGCCCCAGCTGCTGCAGCACACGCCCAGCAAGGCCGACGGGGCCGCCAAGACCCTCGGGAGCTACACCCCTGGGCCCCGCAGCCGGTCCCCCTCGCTCAACAGGCTGGGCGGAGCCGGCGAGGATGCCAAGAGGCCCCGGCAGCCCTGGCACGTCGGGTAAGGAGCGACCTGGGCGGCGGGGGGCACGGGAGGGGAGCGGGTCCAGGGGGACCGGGGAGAGGGCCAGCTCTGTGCTCGGGGCCCTGGATTCTGGACCTCGGGGCGCCACCAGAGGTTGAGCAGGATGCCTGCTCGATCCCAACGCAGACGCTGAGAACGCGTGAAAGTCAGAGCCCCGCTCTGCCCCGGCTCAGACTGCCCCCCGAGAGCAGTGACTGCGCCGGGAAGGGTGGGTGCCCCCCGGGCTCCTGGGGCGGCTTGGGCTGCGGCGGGTGCCCGGGGCTGTTTCATTTCCCTGTGCGTCGGCTTCGGGGTCTTAAAAGTGAAGTGTGGATGGAGAAGGCGCTAAGGGCACCGGCCCGCTCTGGGCTGCGAGCTCCTCCAGGGGCCGTGTGGGGGGTTTTTGTTTGGAATAGAGTTGATTTACAGCGTCGTGTGCGTGTCGGCCGTACCGTAGAGCGACTCAGTTATAGACATTCTTTCTGCATTTTCTTCTCCACTAACGTTCATCCCAGGAGATTGGGTGTAGGTCTCTGTGCTGCTACGCTGGAGGGCCTCGCTGTTCATCCGTTCTGTCTGCAAGTTCACTCCATGAGCCCCAGGTTCCCCCTCCACCCCTCCCCTGCCCCTGGCAACCACAAGTCCATTCTGTCTGTGAGTCTGTTTCACAGGCAGGTTCACTCGTGCCGTATTTCAGCTTCCACGTGTAGGTGATACCGTACGACGTCTGCCTGTCTGACCGACTCTACTCGCTGTGATCATCTTTAGGTCCATCCAGGCTGCTGCGATGCAGGAGACCTTGGTTCGACTCCTGGGTCGGGAAGATCCCCTGGAGAAGGGAAAGGCTACCCACTCCAGTATTCTGGCCTGGACAATTCCATGGACTGTATAGTCCACGGGGTCATAAAGAGTCAGACAGGACTGAGAGATTTAAAAAAAAAAAAACCAGGTTGCTGCAGATGGCGTTGCTTCGTTCTCTTTTATGACCGAGGCGTGTGTCATTGCGTGTGGAGTGTGCCGCACCCTCTTTATCTGTCCCTCTGTCGCTGGACACTTGGGTTTCTCCCCAGACCAGGCTTCAGCGTGCACGGTCCTGAGTCTGAGTGAGCGCCCGCGTTTGTGGCCGAGGCGCCCTGCAGAGCCGAGGGTGTGACAAGCCCCGGCCAGCGCAGTGACAGCCCTGCCTGGCCCCGATCTGTCTGCCCACGAGGCAGGGGTGAGGACGGGGAGGGGGCGTCTCAGCACTCTGAAGCAGCCAGGGGCTGCAGCCCCACTCCTGTCCCCTCTCTAGACGGGGAGATAAGGCCAGCAAAGGCCAGACCTGGCGTGAACCCCCCCCAGGCATCTCTCTGGGGCTCTGGGCTCTCCCCTGCTCCATCTCCCACGCCAGCCGGGGCGCTGCAGTCCCACCCGGAGCTCCAGCTCGCAGGCACGCCCGCCCCCTCCTCGCGTGGCCCCCAGTGTTTGTCTGTCCAGGCTGAGACCTCCTGGGGTTGGACTCCTGGCCAGGGCCTCAGTGCTAGTCGGAGCAGCGCTGTCTCTGACCTCTCACCCCCGCCCCCCGCCGCAGTGTCTCATGGACACGCTGCTGCACGTGCCTTGGCTCACCCCCCTCGTTCTCCAGGGAAGACCCTGCGTCCCCATTTCCCAGATTAGAGCACTGAGGCCAGGTCCTGGAGCCGGCGCAGGTCGTGAGACTTTGTCCTTCTTGAGCTCTGCCCTCACCCTTGGTGGTCCCGGGAGAGCCGGCGCACTGTGTGTTTGGCCTGGCTCCGTGGCTGGCGAGGGGCAAGTGCCCCCTTTGGTCCAGCCATCTGCCCAGTGACCCGGTTCCCCGTCCCGCCGCACACCATTGAGTTGGCCTTGCCTAGCCTGCCTGCGGTGCCTCTAGCCAGCCTGGGTCCTTCCTGATGCCACACCCCCAGCTCCGACCAGGGATGTTGGGGAGGGGGACCAGGAGTCTGGGTGGAGGGGTCAGTGATCCAGGTGGTCCTGGGGGAAGGCCGATTGCTGTGACCAGGAGCAGCAGGCCAGGTGTCCAGGCTGTGGTGTGCGGGTGTGGGGAGAACCTGCCCTTGGGGACCCCAGTTTCCTGGCCCCTTGGCGGGGTCCCAGCCTGTCCCCTGGGTGCCAGCACCCCCCAGGCACACCTTGGCGCTGAGACCCATGCACACCTCCCCCTGCCGTCTCATCCTCAGACCCGGGAGCCCTCCTGGCTCTGGTCTAGATTCTTGCTCTGAGTCACCCCAGGGAGAAGCACCAGGTTCCGGGAGCCGCTTAAAGCTGAATTAAAGGGTTCCCCTGAGGCCTCAAATTCCACTTCACACGGTTAGCTGGAATTATGGCTGTAATTTTAAAGAGAGTGGGTCCCCTTCCTCCAGGACGAAATCTAATAAGATCCTGAAGGCAGGGTGGCCGGGGACTTGGAAAAGCTGCAAAGAAAACTGCTGTGGAGAGAGGCCAGCATCACGTGCTGCAGTGCCCCGTCGGGCTGTCCCTGACGTCCCCGTGTGGGGTGTGTGTGCATGTGTGCCCGTGTGCATCCGTGTGTGTGCACTGGTGTGTCTGTCTGTGTCTGGCACTGTGTGCGTGGGTGCTTGGGTGCTTGTGTGCATGCATTTCTGTGTTTGTATGTAGATGCACATGTGTTTGTGTGTGTGCGTCTTCCGGTACTCTCTATGTCCAAGTATGTGCATGTGTGTGTGTGATGGTGTGCGTGTGTGCATGCACTTACGTCTCTGGGTGTGCCCCGTGTGTGTTGGGTGTGACGGCGTGCGCGTTTGCATGGACCGTGTGTGTGTTTGTGTCTGTGTGTGCATGCGTGTCTGTGTGTGGGATGGTGTGCGTGTGTGCATCCACTTACGTCTCTGGGTGTGCCCCGTGTGTGTTGGGTGTGATGGCGTGCGCGTTTGCATGGACCGTGTGTGTGTTTGTGTCTGTGTGTGCATGCGTGTCTGTGTGTGGGATGGTGTGCGTGTGTGCATCCACTTACGTCTCTGGGTGTGCCCCGTGTGTGTTGGGTGTGATGGCGTGCGCGTTTGCATGGACCGTGTGTGTGTTTGTGTCTGTGTGTGCATGCGTGTCTGTGTGTGGGATGGTGTGCGTGTGTGCATCCACTTACGTCTCTGGGTGTGCCCCGTGTGTGTTGGGTGTGATGGCGTGCGCGTTTGCATGGACCGTGTGTGTGTTTGTGTCTGTGTGCATGCGTGTCTGTGTGTGGGATGGTGTGCGTGTGTGCATCCACTTACGTCTCTGGGTGTGCCCCGTGTGTGTTGGGTGTGATGGCGTGCGCGTTTGCATGGACCGTGTGTGTGCATGCGTGTCTGTGTGTGCATGCGTGTCTGTGTGTGCCTGTGTGCGTGTTATGCGTGCCTGTGCGTGTGCCTGTGTGCACACTCGTGTGTGGTGGTCACAGCCCCAGCCTGTCCTGAGTGCCCGCCGTGAGGACTCCTCCAGGGCCACGTACTTACACCTGGTGCATCCACTTTGGCGACTGTGAAATGAGGACCGTAACGCAGTGGCTCCCTGGCTGCTCCCGAGACGGAACATGTGACTGCGTGGCGGTCCTTGCGTGTAGCAAGCCCGCGGTCCACAGTGGCTGCAGCCGTGCTCAGCTCTTTGTCCACCTGGGGGCAGGCGCTTGGCCCGGTGCTTCCTGTCGCCCGGCTGCGGTCACCCCGGGAGAGAGACTCCTGGGATGCAAGGCTTTCAGTGCTGATGCCGGCTGGCTGCCCGTCCCCGTCGGGGAGGGCTGTGGTCCCGGCCCAGCCTGCCCCACCCTCCCGGCCGATTCCCGTCCTTCCCTCCCCAGCCCGTCAGCGCCTGCCTGGCCCCTGTCCATCTGCTCAGGACCGTTCACTCATCTGTGACAGCCGCTGCGTCCTGACAGGAGCCTGAGGGAGGCCTGCCCCCAGGACCCCCCTGTGCCAGTGGGAACCTGCCAGGTGCCCTGGCTCCTGGGGCCGCCAGGATGATGGTGGCATTTGAGCCGCATGCAGGCTGTCTGCTTCCACACCCGCTCAGATGTGAAAGTGGCCACACACGGCGCCCCAGTGATGGAGGGCCTGTGTGTGGGCACTGCGGCGCATCCCCTGGGGGCTCAAGGGGGTGGCACCTCGGCCCAGCGCTTTCCCGGGACAGACGGGGCCTCTGGACGGAGGACTCGGCTCCTAGCCTCGGGGTGGCCCAGGCAGCCCCAGAGCGCTTTCTGTCTCTCGCAGAACTTGGAGGTGGGCTGGGGGCACTCCCCCGTCGTGGCGGGGAGAGCCCCGGGCCCCCACAGACCCCTCTGTCCCAAGGTCCTGCCTCAGTAGGTAGCTGCCAAAGTGCTGGTCATGTCCAGCTGTCTCCTTCCTGCCGTGTGACTTTAGGCTAGTCACTTGGCCGTCCCGTGCCTTCGTCTTCTCGTGTGTCCAGAGGGTCTAACGGGCTCATGACAAGGCTGAAGCTGAGTGCAGCAGCTGCCACGTATCAGGTCGTGGCTCCCACTAAGTTTTCCAGGAGCACTGGGTACTTCGTGTCCTCGTCGCCACGGCACCTTGAAAGGCCCTCAGCCGCTGTGGGGCGGGCACCGGAAGGTCGTCCTGGTGACGGCCGCGGCTTGGGCCAAGAGGAGGCGGAGCGCGGCAGATCAGTCGAGTCCCGAGCACCTGGGGGTCCCCTCTGGCTGACCCCCATCACACTCTCCCCTTGTTCTCTTGCTGCCCTTGGGAAGGCTGGCCACTCAGCACCCCCGCAGGCACAGCCCTGGGTGCCCACTTGAGGCCCTGGAAGCCTCAGCCAGGCGTGTGACAAGGGCCACTGTGTGGCCAGAACCAGCTTCAGGCCCAACCTCAGGTGCAGACGACCTCCCCCGCCGTCCCAACCCCCCTCACCCATCCCTGGGCCCCTGCGGCTCTGACTGAGCCTCCCGGGCTGGGTCAGCCTCCCCCGGGAACCGCCCTCGAGAACCAGCGGACCCTGGTGCCAAGCAGAAGAGGGAGGAGCTGTCCAGAGTG